TGCTAGGTTTTTCGTCAAAACATGCTAGGATCGTCACACACTGCTGGTATCGTCACACACCCCGCTATGATTCGCCACACACCTTTTAGTGAATCGTCACACACCTGCTAGTGATCGCACACACCTGCTAGTGATCGTCACACACCTGCTAGTGTACCGTCAAAACCCCTCAAAGGTATTCACCCCCAGGCCCCACACACCTGTTTAGGTATCGTCAAAACACCTGCTAGTGAATTCGTCACACACACCCTGCTAGTGTATTCGTCACCCCACCTGCTATGTATTCGTCACACACCTGCTAGTGTACCGTCACACACCTGCTAGTTTACTCGTCACACACCTGCTAGTGTATTCGTCACACAACTGCTAGTGTATTCGTCACACACCTGCTAGTGTATTCGTCACAAACATGCTAGCGTATTCGTCACACACCTGCTAGTGTATTCGTCACACACCTGCTAGTGTATTCGTCACACACCTGCTAGTGTATTCGTCACACACCTGCTAGTGTACTCGTCACACACCTGCTAGTGTGCTCGTCACACACCTGCTAGTGTACTAGTCACAAACCTGCTAGTGTACTAGTCACAAACCTGCTAGTGTACTAGTCACACACCTGCTTGTTACTGGAGGTATTTTGCACGTCTGCCAAGTCTCTTGTTAAATGAATAGATTTCAGTTTTCAGGTTTGGAACCGGTCTCTCCATGATTTTCCAGGTGTAAATTATGATGTACCTTGCCTAGGTTTCAAGGAACACAACTGAAGGAACCTCAAGCAATCCAGTACTTCAAAAGCTTCATTGCATGTACATGAGCAGTGAAAGTTGTGTGTACGTTCTTCAGCTCAGCCATCTGGCGGCCTGCCTTAAGATGGCTGTTAGTACACAGCCATATTTACCATGGCAAGAACAAATGACTTAAAACATACCATCACTGGCTCAGCATCTCTTGTCTTGAAAGTTCTAGTTGTCCAGCCAACAAGTGTCTTTGTGGTTGCTCAAGTAACATAATTGTGACTCTTGAATGAGATATTCCGTCGTCTTTATTCTTTAGTCTGGCACAGGGAACTTCTGCTCTATTGAATAATCTTAGTTTGTCCCGTAGTCGGTTACAGTCTTTATTTCCTCCATTCCTTTCACAACTGCCCTTTTTGTCCCCCTCTCATCTGCTGTTTTAGGCCCAAATTAAGACGACAACTTGATTTTTTATTCGCCTGAAGTTTTTTCTGTCTTCGGAAGGATATCACTCTAGACTGGGTTCACCCAAAAAAGTTTGTCCTTACAATGTCAGCTATAAAAATGAAAAGAAGAAGTGAGGGGACACTGTTTTTGGGGAGGAGATGGGGTTTTTCACATGGCAGCCTCCGTTTCACGGGTTTACTAACACTTTCTGGGGTTTATAAGTTAAATAAAATTTTTGCCCACGTTTGCAGTTTTTCCTTTTTTCCCCACTAATTTTGTGGCTATCACCCCCCATGGCCCCTTTTTGGTCGAACCTTCTGAAAAGTTTAAGTACAACAGAAATTTAAACCCCTTTCATCCACTGCATCTTTGAAAATATCGTCATGACCCTAGCATTTTGGAAGCTGGAGCAAAACGTGCTTTTTAAACCCCCCTGTTGCCTGAAATCACAACATTTTACATACAACCCCAATTTGAAAACAATCTTCTTGTTGGGGCCCCACCCAAATTGTTTTAAATTTGCCCCCTTTTTGGTGAAGTGAGACAATATCAGTTTTTTTTAAAGGATTGGGGGAGGCACCATTTTCCCAAAGGTTTTCCTCCATACAACACTAAGGTCTAGAAAAATCATTGTTTGAAATTTTTTGGGTGAACGGGATTTGGGCAGGAGTCGGGTCCGGGGAGCAAATGCATGAAAGGCTGTCGATGACTTCTTCAAAGTCAACGGGGAGGGGAGGGAGAGAGGGGAAAGAGAGAGAGAAGAGAGGAGAGAGAGAGAGAGAAAAGAGAGAGAAGAGAGAGAAGAGAGAGAGGGGAGAGAGAGAGAAAAAGAGAGAATAAAATAAAAAAATTTGTGGCCAACTGGGGGTAAAACAAAAGTCTTACGCTTTGGGGTTTAGGGATCGAAAAAAAAAATTTAAAGGGTTTCTTAAAAACACAAATTTTTGTATTGTTACTTCATGTTTTTTCAGAAATTTTTTCCTTTAACGTTGTTTTTGTGTCGAGGTTTAAACCTGTCGAAAAAAAACACTGGGGTTTGTTTTTTTCCGGGAAATTTTTACCAAGAGAAGCATTTTTGGGGGGGTTTCCTTCCTTTTTTTAATTCAGGGGTTCCCCTTTTCCCTTCTGGATTTTGTTCCCGGCCCATTTTTCCCTCGGTTTTTTCAAGAGGAAACTGGAAATTTTTCCTCAAATCATTTTGGGCTATTACCCGGGCCCTGTGTGCACCCAGCAGAAAAAAAAACGGGCTGATCATGACTTTTTTCCATCAGGACCCGTCGGGAAAAGAGTCAGGGACGTTGACCCTGGAAGACATCCCTTAAAGTTTTCCCCCCCTCCGAGAAAATGTTTTTGTGGGGCGATGAAGTCCACTGAAACCCCGGAAACATTGTAAAACCCTGATTATACTGTATCTGTCTGACATAAGAATGGATCAGTCATAACATTCGTCTTTTGCGACTTATCAAAGGAATCTTCAATTTTGGGCAATTATAGCAGTTGCTATGTTTTTTTCCCTTTTATTTTTTCGGCCTGAAACTGATAAGTCTTGTTGTAGAAGGGGCCTTAAATCGGACCCCGCGCGGGGGGGGAAGGGGGTGGCGCTGACCCGGGAAAAATCCTTCAGGTAAGCAACAAGATGTTTTTTTCAGTGTTTGAAACATCAACATTGATTTTTTAAGCTGCTTTTAAAATTGGTACTTACCACAACATCTAAAAAAAAAACCAGCAAAACATTTTTTAATCAAAAAATTTCAAAGCTTAAATATCGCGTATGGAAATGGGCGAAAGGGGAAATCCCTACACATTTTTAAGATAGGGGACTAAATTTTGCAAAGGGTACTACATTGCTGTAAAATATAAAAAGTGTATATAAAATTTTTTAGTTTAATAAAAATGTCAGGCTTAATTTTAAGTGGGCTGAACGACAAACAGAAGTTTTTTGACAGAGCCAGTTTTGAGTGCACAGGAAAGGGGGGGGGGGGGGGGGGGGGGGAGCGGGGGGGGAGAAAAATCCCCTTGGGAAAGAGGTGTTTATTGGGTTTGGTTAAGTAGTGTGGGTATTTTGGGCAAGTTTTAGGTCAGTTTGCTTAAGGAAATTTTTTTTTTGTAAACTTTAAAATTTTTCCTAGCACTGGGCAAGTTCCGGGATTTTTTGTGGGGCTTGTTGTTCCTAGCACGGGGAAGGGCCTGGTACTGATGGGGCTTGTTTTTTTCCTAGCACTGGGCAAGGTCCCCGGTAATTTTAAGTGGGGGGGTTGGGTGTTTCCCAAACACTGGGCCAAAGGGCCCCCGGGGTTTTTTGTGGGGGGGTTTCTGATCCAAACACTGGGCAAGGGCCGGGGATTTTTTGTGGGGGGTTTCTGTTTCCCAGCACGGGCAAGGTCCTGGAATTTTTTGGGGGGGCTTCTTTTTTTCCACACGGGGAAAAGGGCCCCGGTACTTTACGTGGGGGTTGTTGTTTTCCCCCATCCTGGGCCCAAAATCCCCGGGATTTAGTGGGGGTTGTTTTCCTAGCACGGGGCAAGGGCCTGGAATTTTTGTGGGCTTGTTGTTCCTAGCACTGGAACAAGGTCCTGGTAAATTTTTGTGGGGCTTTTTGTTTTCCCACACTGGCAAGGTCTTGGAAAATTTTGTGGGCCCTTTCTGTTTTTTAGCACTGGGCAAGGTTTCCCGGGGAATTTAAAGTGGGGCTTTTGTTCCCTAGCACTGGCAAGTTCCTGGTAAGAAGTAGGGGGGTTGTTCCCTTTGCACGGGCAAGTTCCCTTTTACCGAAAGTGGCTTGTTTTCCAAACACCGGGGAATTTTCCCGGGAAATGATGAAAGGGGTGTTGTTCCAGCACGGGCAAGGGCCCGGTATTTATGTGGGTCTTGTTGTTCCAGCACTGGGAAAAGGGCCCGGTATTTTTGTTTGGGGCTTTTTGTTCCTTTGCACTGGGGAAGGGCCTGGAAATTTATGGGGGATTTTTTTGTTTTAGCACTGGGGGGGGAAAAGGGCCTGGGATTTTTTTCGGGGTTGTTGTTCCTAGCAATGGGCAAGGCCTGGATTTTTGTGGGGCTTGTTTTTTCCTAGCACTGGGCAAGGTCCGGTATTTATGTGGGGCTTTTTTGTTTTCCCCATCAACTGGGGAAGCCTGGGGATTTTTTTGGTGCTTGTTTT